GCCAGCATGCTGGCTGGGGAATTCTGGGAGTTGAAGTCCACTCATCTTAAAGTGGCCAAGTTTGGACAAGACTGATCTATGTGGTCGCAAACAGACAACCCTAACTTCATGGCACATAATCAATTCATCCATCCATCTATCCATCCATCCATCCATCCATCCATCCATCCATCATCTCTGCACTTCATTTCTTCCATTTCTGTGGCACTCTCAAGATGATTGGCAACAAAGCACAGCAGTGGAAAGCCATGAATGGTGTACCAGATAGAACAGTTCCTTAAATCAATCAAAAAGCCATCTGTACAAATAATCTTTTTAAAAAAACATTAGACAATAAATAGCAAAGGTACCATTTGATATGGCAAAAGAGGTTCATGGAGTTTTGACTCCTTGGATATAGTAACATTAAAGAGAAAAAAAAAGTTACACACACACACACACAAACATGTGCACGCACACACACACACACAACTGTATCTAGAGATACAGAGGGTCCTGAGAACCAAACATACGTTACCTAAAATATGAGGCTGACAGACAGAATAAGTACCTTTAATGAACTGTATCTGTAGCTGATTTGGTGAGTCTTGTCCTGCTGAACTCTCCTGTTTCTTGCTTTTCTGGAGAACCAGTGGTAAATTAGTGAACTCTTCTGGCTAGGTTCATACATCATACTAAGTCATAAAGAGTTTTGCTTAATTCAGCTATGATGGTTTAGAGAACAATATGGTGTCTTTGAGTCTAAGCCTTACTGAAGTGTTTTCTGCAGAACTTTTTTGCTTGCTTACACTTCCTGTAGAAAACAGCGGGATGGTGCTTTGGAAGTGTAAACAACCCTAAATTCCCTCAAGAAATCCAAAAGGCTGCAGCGTCTGCTCAGTAACATCCATAACAAACAGCAATTATGCTGAAGTAACAACATGCACAAATTGTATACTTCCTCATAATGTCTAATGCAAGTACCTAAGCCACTGCGTTTGTATCTAGTGAAGTGCATATAAAACGGAGCACAAATGCAACATGGAAACAAATCCATTTGCCTCAGAAGTCTTCAAGACAACCACACAAATAATAGATATTACGCTATTATTTCAGAGTGCAGGATTTAATTAATTAATTAATTAATTAAAAAATAATGGATTTAAGTTGCAGAAAAGCATTTTCTAATGGAATGTTTGGAAAAGCAGTCAGAGTATTCGACAGGGGAATCAATTACCCAGGGACAATATGGCATTGGATGTGTTTAAGCCAAAACTAGGCACCTATTTGTTTGTGTTTGCTTTACAATATTTATAACTCAGCCCAGTTGTGGCCAGTTTTGGGTGGGATACAATAAAGTCAAAACAAAAATTAAACTCAATATAAATAATGTAATGTAATATTATAAGAACATAAGCAATGCACTGCTGGATCAGACCCCTGCCCCGTCTAGTCCAGCAATCTGTCCTCACAGTGGCCAACCAACTGCACAAGGAAGCCCACTAGTCTCCCAGTCGATGGCCTTCAGAGGCAATACCACTGCCCTCATGGCTTCCTTGACCATGTCTTTCATTTAACGTTTAAGCAAGAGATGAGAATCAAGGAGAATCTCCACGTCTCAAGCCAACTCCTTTTGTGGGAAGCACAACCCCCCCAAGAACAAACTACCAGAACTACTGATATTAAATCACCTAGATGTCTATGGATGACTAGTAACTTTGCTTTGATAAGATTTAATGTGAGATTGTTATACCCTATCCAGATCCTTATAACTTCTAGGCACCAGTTCAGGTCTTCTACACGTTATCTGGTTTGGCCCAGGGTGGTGATATCTAAGTGGGTATCATCAGTATATTGATGACATTTCACCCTAAGCTGCCAAATTGGCGTGCCCTAACATATTAATGGGGGAAAACCTTGAGCCTTGAGCCACCCCATACTGGAGTTCCCAAATGTTTGAGTGCACATCCTCCATGAACACTGACTGAAACCACCCACTGAGCATGGAGTGGAACCACTATAGAACTGTGCCCCAACTCCCAAACCCTTCAGGCTGACCAGAAGAATACCATGGTGAATGCTATCCAACATTACTAATAGATCTAATACAACCAAAAGGGGCATATTCACCCATCTAGGTCCTGATGATCTTTGACCAGAGTGACCAGTTCTGTTTCTGCCCATAACCAGGCCTTAATCCTGGCTGCAGAGGATTCAAATTTTAGTCTAGAATCTCCACGACATTCTCCATCATCTTTGCAAGGAAAGAAAGATTGGAAACTGGGCAAAAGCTGTCAAAAACACCCATGTCCAAGGAAGGTCTATTCAGAAGAAGGCATGCCACCACCTCTTTTTAAAGCAGGAGGCATTATGCTATCCCCAGAGAGGTGCTGATAATCTCACAGAACAAGCTCTTGCCATTCAAAGAAGCCAAGAGGAGCATGGATTGAATGGCAGAATCCAGACTACAGAGGACTTCATTCACTTCCTTGGGCTCCACAAGTTCAAACTCATAAATTGTGATGCAAGACGCTATCTGTTCCTCTGATGGTCAACTCAGAGCAGATACAAGCAATTTTAACTACCAAGAAACACGCATATTCCAAAATAGTTAAAGTGAGGGTGTTTTAATTAGGATTCCTGCAGTAAGTTGTCTTGAACACAATTGCCTAAATGCCTCTCCCAGCTTCATCATTCTATTTTAGTCTATCTTTGTCCTTCTCCTTTAATTGCTAGAATGGGGCCCTATCTGTATATAAGCCTGGGTGTGATTGTGTATTCCAACTTATCCGATCCATGATCCAACTAGCCATATGTAGCCAAATTACCACGTGTGGAGGTGTGCAAGATATTTGGCAGTGTTTGTGTTTTGAAACTTTCTTGAAGCGTATTTATTGTCTTTAGTAAACTGACCCTACCCAGTTGGTTGGCTGCATTCAATGTTAGAAAGAGGTGCGGCCTTTGAAGTAGCCTTTAAAATGTTGTACTGTGGAAATGTAGTTGGTTAAACAGCTGACTCTCCTGTGTGTACGCAAGTATTAGATACCGATCCACAGAATTCTTTAATAAAATTTGGTAGGGCACCATTATATCAAGGTCATTTGAGGTGCACATAGAATGCACCTCAAAGCTGTAGAAAGTACATTGTCATTTGCAGAGAACTAAACTGTTTTCTGATTCCAACTCACTCTCTTCTTGTTCTTAATGTTAGGTTGTACCAGGTGAATTTTGATGCTCCCACCTGTGAAGGCAAACGAGAAAAACTTTCACTAATAGGCGACTTTTCTTCTTCTGCGGAATTCTTTGTCACTGTTGCCGTCTTTGCCTTCCTCTACTCCTTGGCAGCCACAGTAGTTTACATTTTCTTCCAGAACAAATACCGTGAAAACAACAGGGGTCCTTTGATTGTAAGTGTGAGTTCAACCAATACTAACACCTTTGTCCTTTTAATTGATGCATCTGTCTAAGTTATTTCTCCCATTGGGTTAGTTTGAATTCTATTGTCATCTTACATAATTTTTTTTTCTACTTCCTACATAGATTTTACACTCCCTTAATAGTGTTATTGAGACTGTTATTCAGTGTTAATTAGTGTGATTGAGAGACTGCTATTGAGAATCATACAGAAGTAGTGTGATGGCAAACAAAGTTTGCCCAGTGATCTTGTATAAAAAAAGATCTGAGAAGTTTCATTAGTGATAATTGTGTCTACACAGACAGCAGTTCATACGGATACACTGATTTTATAAACCTTTGTTATGAACATTTAAGAAGAGTGAATATTCCTATTTTATCCCTTTATACAAATATTACAATACTATGGGAGACTTTCAGGGGGTGATATAACATCCTGTCTTCTTTGAAGCTGCACCCATGTCTTCACAGATCCTGAGGAGACAGAATTCTTTCTACCAATAGGAATGCAGCTTTTTTCAAAGATTTACTGAGTGTGCTACTGATTTCCTTGCATAGATCTTAAACTACAATCTGCTGTGTCCCACTCAGGAAAATAATCTAAGAATTAGTTCTTGTAAAAACCAGATGACTGTGAGTTCTAGTCCCACCTCAGGCATGAAAGCTGGCTGGGCGACTTTGGGCCAGTCTCTCTCTCTCTCAGCCCCCTGATGTCAGGCTCGGGCGACAAGCCAGTTGGTTAATTCCTGTCGCAACCAATGGATCAACATTTGGTTGATCTGAAGAAAAAAAAAAACACACCCTGCACATTCGGGAAAAATGGTAGGAAGAGAAAAACATATGACTTGAATATTCTTGGCCTTTAAAAAGCAAGTAAAAACTTTTAGGTTGTTCCATTAAAAACACACACACACACACACACATCAAAATCCATAACCAGGTAACAATTTTGTTAGGATCAGCCATAATGGTATAAACAAGTATGAAAGCTTTGGAGTTTTCTGGAAAAGTATTGCTTAAAAGCAAGTCTTAATGACCATCCTCATTACAGAAATCTGAAAGGCAACAGCTAAAAGAATATTGATCAAATTTATTTCCCTACTTTCAAAGTTGAGAATACTGGCTGCAGTGAATAATACCAAAACGGGCATGATTGTATTTATTATTATAGAATTGCTTTATCTCAAACACATTCAGATACATCTACAGGTGTATAGAAAATGTCCCCTGACATTTTTGGTTTAGACAACTAAGAATAATTTATATAGCCATGACTTACAGCATTGTAAACACATATGGACACTTATGGACAAGAGGGCTTAAATACCTTAAAATGAATCTGAAGTTTTGTCTGTTTGGCTAATATTATGGGTGTGCAGATGTATCCTAATTACTTCTGAAAAGGGGGGGATGAGTGTATATAAACTCCATTCAAACAAGTTTTGTAGCTACCAACTTCAAGGTCTTTAACTTTACAGATCTATGTTGGTGCAATTTTATTTGAGCCTTCAACAGGCAGCATTCGCTACCCATGTAAATATATTCTTCTATTTAATATGTGAAAGACATTTCTATGTCATGCATGGCAACTAACCGAAAGCCAATAGTCCCCTATTTTCTGCTCTTTGCCATTGCTGAGATTCCATTCTTTTCAAGGAAAAATAATTCTGTTGTGACAGATTTTTAACACTGCTGCATTTTTATCTCTTTGCCATCATGCATTTCTAATCCACAAGTAGAAAATAAACACTAGCAGTAAACTGTAGAAAAGCTGTAATGGTGACATTTTCATTGCCTGCAATCCATAAAAAATAATTAGATGAGTTATCCTGCCTTGTGAAAATCAGCTTTTTGTTTCTGTACAGTCTCAGGGGAAGCCTGCACTGATAATCAGCACTATAAATGGGAGATTATTTATGTAGCTCACCCAACTCTAAGGAACTCAGAATAACTCATATCATCAATGGGAAAATGTACTACACCCCCCCCCCACCTCCAATCTGGTCCTCGGGCCTCATCTGAGGCTGCCCTTCACCCCCAAAATCTTTGCAACTACCCTGCCATCTTTTTGGTGTCCAGGAGAAAGCAGAAGCAGCATTTACCCTCCCCTTTTTCCTACACAGAGAGAAAGATAATACTACTGATTGCAATAAGGTGATTTTCAGCTGTATGCTTTCTTGGATGAAATAAAGACTAAATGCAAATGCACTTAATTTGCCTTAATGCTCCACTTCAGAATGCAAAAACCCCACCACAGTTTTGATTCCATATCCTCCACGAATGTTAGCATTATACCTCCTGCAGTCCTTGGGGATTTTTTTTTTTTTTATCATTTAGAAAAGAAAAGAATGTAACCTGCTAGATGAGAGGAAAAGCCCTTTTCTGCCTTATGCTAAACATGGGAGCCTTGAGTAGATTAAATTTAGGATAAAATTTTAAAAATTCAGTCCAATGAAATATAAATGTTTTATATTTTGCATAGTCTGGATTACATACTCTGATCTTTGAGGGGTTGGTGAATAAGTAAGTTGATCTCCTGGGTAATAGCACCCAGGATACTTGTTGAATACTTCGTCCCAGTCCAACAAATTGCTTCGTTCATGATGCAGAACAGAGGAGGGATCACCTGGTGTCCTGCTTTCCATCCCTATGCTTCTGCCATTGTGTACATAAAACGGTTAAAGGAGAAATAACCAAAGGCCACTCCCTTTGGGTGTGTCTATGTTAATTACCCACAGTATTGTTCTCTGTCCTTTTCTTTTGTCCACCTTTTATCCTTTATTAACCAGTTAATTGATTTGATTTTAATAAATAAACTACCGATCAAGCTATATTTTTACTAACTGAACTGAGTGGTGTGTGCCCTTGCTCTAATCTGGATATAGGGTTTGACTGGGAGTATTTTGGATGCAAACTAATTATCCATGGTCATTTTCAAAGAAAAGATAGATAGATAGATAGATAGATAGATAGATAGATAGATAGATAGATAGATAGATAGATAGATAGATA